CTCCCTGCTCGGCCTTGTGATTTCGCGTAAAGTCTTGTAGCCATACGTTTTTGTGTCGTCCTAAGCTACCTTCATGCATCCCATTCCCAACGCCGCCCGTGGTATATAGCTAATCAATATTCATCTTGTTCTCAAACCACCCGGTAACCTGGTCGACAATAAAATCCTTCTTCGGTGGTCCTCCCTTGAGACTGATTCCTTTGGCCTGTGCAAAAGCCTTCAGCTTCGCAACCGTCATTTTCCCTATCTGGTTCCTCTCGAACAACATCCTCATCTCTGCGTCGTCCGGCAGATCACTCGTAGTAGCAGGCGCCGCGCCATTCTCAGTCTTTGGCCTCTTCACCGTCTCTCCCTTGCTGCCGGCAGTACGCTTCGTCGCCCCACTGGCCGATGTTGTCCCCGCATTATGTTTCTGCCATGCGCGGAACTGCTGATCTAGTTCTTGACCCCATTCAAGCACATATTCTCCGGCGCGCTTGTCGATCTGTCTATATCTTGGAATGGTCTTATCTTCTGGCTTCTCCGGTAAATCTTCTTCAAGAGCCAGAGCTTGCAGGATGCGGTAGAACCATTGCAGTGCTGGGTTTGGATACCTCTTAGGATCGTAGACCGCTTTTGGCAACTGCAACTGCTGGATGATGACACGCATCACGTCGACTAAGCTGTCTGGTGTCACTACCAGTGATGTCTCCGGTGGTTGGCGGATATCGTCCGCAAATGGTAGCGGGTGCATCCATAGGCCTGGAGGCACGACTTGTGCTCCTTCTTCATCCAGCTTCTCCCTGCCGGGAATGATAGCTGCAAGCACCGGTGTAGCATTCTTTCTTGGGATGTACCATGCCACACCCATCTTTTGATCCTTCAGCAGCTTCTGCTGTAGAGCGGAAAATACGCGAGGACTACCAATCACCTCCTCTTCAGAAGGATAGATGAACGTGGATGGTCTCGTCGATGCCCATGAAGGCAACATAGAAAGTGGCTTGAAGCCGATAATGCGGAGTACCGGATCGCCGAAGTTTTTAATCTTAGCCATCTCTTCTGTGGTAAACGAGATCGTTTCTCCACCAAACTTGTATGCTTTGCGAACTTCAACCTTGTCCACAGTTCGCGCAGTATCTTCAGCCATAAGCGTTGAAGTACCGGTAGCGAGCTGAGTCTTTTCGCCATCCGTATAGACGTACGTGCTCCGTTTCGGCTCCTGACGTTTAAGGATGATGAATCCTTTGATGGAGATTCTGAGACCTGGACCAATCTCGAACGGTATGTTGGAGAAGAGGGCTCGACGCGGTGCCGACCTTGAAGCTATATTAGATAGCAGTGATTGGAGTAAAGAGATACCATCTCCACCTGCAGATGTTTTCGCAGGTTTCGTGATTGGAGCAGGCGCATCTGGATCAGCGGGCGTGGCACTGTATACGATATCATCGTAGAAAATAGATCGATCAAAAGCATGATCTGGGCTTGAGATGGGGAAGAGTTCGATGATCACACCCAGGTCGTAGAGATCCTTTGCTCTGACCGCTGCGGCTGATCTCAGTGCCTTGTCGTTTGCATGCGGGTTATCGTTGTCTGTGACTAAGAATAGCCGTCTGGAAGAGAAGTTGGGTGCTTTCGTTGTGAAGATCTGATTGGCGCAGAACAGGACATTTGCCATAGAGACCTCTTCTTCAGAGGCCTTAAGGAGATCTTTTGACTCTTCTTCGTCCTGAACCAAATTCCGCAGGCGCTTCACATCGGCCGCAGCAGGTACATCAAGGTCAGTGAGCAGATAGCAGTGCGGATATGACATGCCTCTGCTGTTTTCATCTTCATCCTGGAAGCGCGACTTTTCTGTGCCGAAGAGAAGGATACCCATCATATCATGGGGATGGGAGATGATCCTCTGCTGCATCAAGGAGTACGCGCATTTGAGAGCAGCCGCAGTTGGCGTGTCACTGTCTGCCTTCTTTGAGTCGGATGGAGGCGGTGATGTAAGCATAGTCTTGCTCACGTCGATAGCGATGAGCACGGCATCTTTGACAGTCTTGTAGCCCTACTCATATGTCAGGATATGCGAGCGAAGTGTATATAGTTTTGCAAGCCTACTGCATCATCAACCGCCTCGTCGTCCTCATCCTCCTCTTCTCCGCGCCCGTAGTTTGATGGCTCCGCCATGTTTTGAGATGCTCAAGTCATGAGAGGGCACTAAGAAGCACCACAGCTGCACGCTTCGCTGTTACAATAGCTGAAGCGAAGAAATGGTATTCACATCGAGCCCACAGATTGGATGAAACACCTACGGCCAGAGCTGCCTGGATGAGCTCATCTTGGGTAACGCGTTTGCTAATCGCGCTATCACATGATCAATATGCAGGGTCAAAGGTCCGATCGGCAGCCACGAGCTTGTGGCTTGGCACGCATCATCGACGTCGTATTAGATCTCGAACCACCTGCAGTTCGGCGGCGCGGTCAGCAGCTTTGCGACAGCGGTCAGCCCTTTGACTGTTTCACTCCTCTGATTACGCCTCTTACCACGCCCCTTCTGACTCAGTACACTTCTCTCCTACTTCCGTACACCTTTCCCTTCTACGACCCCTGGTCTCTCGTGTTTCAAGCTCACAGCCATGAGCCTTCGTACACCCCTCACATCTCTCGCTGGGCGTGCAGCTCAGAGTCGAGTTGCAGGTTTAGCGGCGAAGAGGTCCAGCGCAGCATGGCAGTCAAGATCGATGGCCACTGTAGTCCCACCAGTCACACAAGACAACACCAGCTCTAGAGGACCTACCGCTATGGTGTTCATGAATATGGGCGGCCCTTCTACCACAGGCGAAGTCGGGGACTTCTTAAGCAGATTATTCGTATGATGTCTCCAAATTGACGCGCTTACCTACCGCTCACATATCGCAGGCAGACGGTGACTTAATACCTCTCGGCCGCCTTCAGGGCTACCTCGGACCGCTCATTTCAAGGCGGAGAACACCAAAGATCGAGAAGCAGTACGCGGCCATTGGTGGTGGATCTCCCATCCGGAAATGGTCAGAGTATCAATGTACGGAGATGTGCAAGATTCTCGACAAGATCTCGCCGGAGACAGCGCCTCACAAACCTTACGTTGCCTTCCGATATGCCGCACCTCTTACAGAAGACACGTACCAAAAGATGATCGATGATGGGTTCGGAAAGGGAAAGGGTGGCAGGGCAGTCGCGTTCACACAATACCCACAATACTCCTGCAGCACAACGGGAAGCTCATTGAATGAACTATGGAAATGGAGACAAAGACTAGAGACGAAGCGGGCAGGAACAGAGATCGATGAGGCAGGCGCGGTCAAGTGGAGTGTCATCGACCGATGGCCGACACACCCAGGCTTGGTCGAGGCATTTGCTCAGAACATTGAAGCCAAGTTGGCAGAATACCCAGAGGAGAGGAGGAAAGACGTGGTGCTCCTCTACTCAGCACACTCACTCCCAATGAGCGTAGTGAACAGAGGAGATCCGTACCCTGCGGAGGTCGCAGCCACCGTCCATGCAGTCCAGACACGTTTGGGCTGGAAGAACCCATACCGTCTTGTCTGGCAATCGCAGGTTGGACCCTCAGCTTGGCTTGGCGCACAAACCAGCGACACTGTTGAGAACTACGTCAAGAAGGGTCAGCACGACCTTGTCCTCATCCCAATTGCCTTCACATCCGACCACATTGAGACCCTGTACGAGATCGACAAGGAGGTTATCCACGAGGCCGAGCAGCTTGGTGCTAAGGGAACTGTGAAGAGAGCAGACTCATTGAATGGCAGCGCAACTTTCATTAAGGCGTTGGCTGACATTGCAAAGGCGCATTTGGACAGTGGTGACGCTTGTAGCAGGCAGATGGGCTTGAGATGTCCGGGTTGCGTGAGCGAAAAGTGTTTGGCGCAGAAAAAGTTCTTCTCGGGACAGGAGGCGCTTTTGTAGAATGACCTGTCGGTCAACAATGTGTAATATTATCTTACTGGTGTGTATACCTACCTTACCATGTGCAGTGGCAGGTGATCAGCCATCGGCACTCTTCTTCCACGTTTAGTGCATAGAGTCTCAGGTCCGATTCAGAGTACCTATCCCCAATTCCATTTACCTTCAAATCTTACCTTCATATTACCTAACTGTGAGGAACGTGAAGGCTTGGAAGGGATTGGATTCGACGTCATCCGCCTGACCGTCACAGCACCGTCTTCTACCTATATGTTCTCCTCCCATTGCGGAAGGAGCAACCGCACTTGAACCCTGCCTGACCAACGCAGCACTCAGAGCCGCGTTCACTTTGACGCCACCTTCACGTATTGAAACACGCGTAACAAATGGAACCTATCTATGCGACGTGACGGATGCTCCCGTACTAACTACCCGGCCTAACTGCGAAGAGATCTCGACACTCATGCGACATATCGACCGGAGTCGTTCTGGCCCGTGTGCACCTGCAACGATCCCTAGCAGGTCGACCCAGCCATTCTCACGGCAAGGCGCGTTCAGGGAGTTACTCAGCTCTCCCATCCCCGTAGTCAAGGCAAGGATAGGCATTACTGGATCTTGCAAGAAATCACAAGAGAGGACGAGCATGGAACGGGATAACATCGAACGCTGGGTGTGATGGTGCATGCAACTTCTTAAGACCAACCAAGCTACACGACTACTTACCTTACTCTACGCGTCGCATTGCAACAAATGCACCGAGCTGCTAGCATGCTACAATATACACACAGATGTGAATCTCACCACAGTGCAGCAGACAGAGATCGACTCTTCTCACACTGGTCGCATTCACCACCACTATGTCAACCATCCCGTCTGTCGTCTCACTCAAAGCGAAGCTGGAAGTGAAGTTCAAGCTGCCAAGCATTCTTCCCGGCTGCTGACTTAGCGACGCCGAACGCCAAGCCTCCACCAAAAAGTTGGTCTCCCCAAACACAACTCCTACACACGCATTCCTATACCTCCTGGACGTGCTAACACATACAGGAAGATGCCAAAAAGATACAAAAGAAGTGGGGCTCCTCCCGGGATCGAACCGGGGACCTCCTGCATACGGCGTGTCACTCGTTGCTCGCCGGCGCTGCTGAACAGACGCTGGTGATGAGTGAGAACCCAAAGCAGGAATCATACCACTAGACCAAGAAGCCTTGTATGAGCGAGCTTGATTGCTCTGGTTGATGGAAGACAGCGCGGTCAACAGAGTATATGTACCTCAACGGAAATGCTCGGCTGCGAAAGGCGGAGCCTGACACGAAGGCTGACCCTCTGGGCGCTTCGGGCCGTTGCGGGGCCTCGGCGGATCTGACTCGGCCCCTTATGCTTCACCACTGTCTGGTGCGCGTCCGAGACGGCTAGGCAGAGTAACTTATAGTACTGGACTGGAAGGTCCTATGACGCCCAAGGTCCCAAGCTACGTCTTCTTACTGGCTCAGGACTTTAGGATGTCGGCGCGTGGAACGCGGCTTCTTATGCCTCACCAGGGTCTTGCGCGCGTCTGAGACGGCTGAGGAGAGTGTAGCGCTGGACTCGAAGCTCATAATAAATACATGTACAACACCAAAGAGCCGACCTGCGTCCTTCAATGGGCTCCAATGATGCATTATGCCCTGGTTCCACCCTTGAGCAGGATCAGCCAACCAGCCAATAGCTCGACAGGTCATTCGCCTTCTCGGACGCCGCGTCGCTTCGCCTTTTCAATCCATGCCTACTTAGCCACCACCCGGATATGTTGTCTGAATTACGATCTGGCGTCAAAATGGCTCTCGCAGTCATAGGGCCGAACCAAGTGTGTCAGCCTTATTGTGTTACCATGCGATCAGCACGTTGTGCTCACACGCTTCGTCGTGATAGTAACGTGACCACCCATGTTGCTATTCTTTGTACGAAGAGGAGCGGATGTCGTCCTCACCCTCTTGTCATGTGTGAGTCTTGTATGTGAATTATACGGGGTCGACCTTGTCCAACAACCTCATTCCCGTGTGTCGGCGGTTGTTTCTTACTGTGGAATTGTGTTGCGGCAGTAATTCAATTCAATTCAATTTGTTCCATTCTTTTCACAAGGTATACACCCAAGACACGCAAGGCATGATCAATCAAGTCGGTGCAGAGCGGCATACAACCAGCGAGAGGATAAACCGTATGTATAGAGATGGCCGAAGCGCATGTGTGACTGACGACGTTTATTTACTTATACATTTTATACGATTATCGACTGGCGACCACAACACAATGAACAAACTCAACTTCAGACTTATGTATGCTATAGGACCATGACAGTCTCGACCCAGAATAAAGTTGCTGAACGTTCCCCTGGCATCCAGAAGAGTAGGGTCAGACAATAACCGACAGTCACTATGTCGCGACTCAACAGCGTCTGTTCAGCAGCGCCGGCGAGCAACGAGTGACACGCGAAATTTATATAGTACGGTCTCGAGAAGGATGGATGGCACGCAGAGGTGGACTAACCTAATCATCGCAGATATGGAAGCATACTTACATGTACTACTACTACATTCATTGATCACATGATATTTTTCAGTTCATGTTTCTCCTTTACCGACCAGAAAACTACCTGTAGAGTGCTCAAATACTAGGTACCTACCTTATACAAGCAGGTAAGTCTTGGCAGAACATCCCCGCATTCTGATTCGTCGGCGCGACTTTGATACATTTTGTGCACGCGCCGGGTCCGCGTGCTGGAAGGTCTCAGAGTGTGTCTGCTTTCCCTCGTTAGGGTGAAATACCGCCCCGGCCCTGCTCATCTCTTCTCCTGCATCTGGATACCATGTCCAAGGTCACTTTTGCTATCGTCGCCGCTGGCGGTGCGGCAGCAGGAGCAGCAGCAACAGCAGCACTTTTTGGAACGCGCAAGCAGCCACAAACTCCCTCAGTCGCGACGACGACCACATCAGTCTCTTCTCCCTCCAGAACCTCTCCCGCCGTTACTATTCCTGCTCCGGCTCCCATCCAGGGAGTTCCTGCTATACCAGCTCCAGTCGACCCCTCTGGACTGTTCCAATACGGATTCCCTGGCCCAGTCGCAGATCTCCGCTCGGCGGCATCCCTAACATCCTCCTATGACCGCCGTACGAGGAACCCATACTGGGTTGCCGAACACATCACACCCGCATCTCTCGCAAACCCAAATGCCGACCGCAAACACTCCGTCTTCGTCGAAGATACTAGCATACCCGAAAAGTTCAGAGCGAAGTTGAAGGACTACTTCCGGAGTGGATATGACAGAGGACACCAGGTACCCGCAGCGGATGCGAAGTGGTCGCAGACTGCCATGGACGACACTTTTGCACTGAGCAACATGTGCCCGCAGGTCGGAGAGGGCTTCAACCGCGACTACTGGGCACATTTCGAGGACTTCTGCCGTCGCTTGACCGCAAACTACCCTTCCGTACGAATCGTCACGGGACCGCTGTACCTGCCAAAGAGGGAGGCAGACGGCAAGTGGAGGGTCAGCTACGAGGTCGTCGGGAACCCACCGAATGTCGCAGTCCCTACCCACTTCTACAAAGTCATCTTTGCCGAGGATGGTAAGACTGGCGGAAACGTCAGTTTGGGAGCATTCGTCTTGCCAAATGCTGTCATCAGTAACGACAAGCCTTTGAAGGACTTTGAGGTTCCGGTAGAGGCTGTGGAAAGGTGAGTTATGGCTCCAGTCATGTTGCCTAGATATTTGCTAACATTTGAAAAGGGCTTCTGGACTTGAGTTTGCTAGCCTGCTCCCTCCACAGCGGAGAAAGCAGCTGTGCAAGGAAGTCAACTGCTCTATCATCGTCAAGGAATATGCAGACAGGCAGAAGACCATGAGAAGCCCTCCACCGAAGAAGGGACTCCCTTCTCCACAGTGACGAACGAGATCATGATCTGAGACTTACGGCATCGCTATAGGCGCATTATGTTTCTTTCAGCATGGACACGGCGCAAAATGGTTCGTAAGCGCTTGCATTGCTAGGCGCTCAGTTTTGGGCTTGACTCTGAAGTCCTTTCCGATCTTCCGAAATATAATATACAATGTCTATGATAGACACTTGAGTCGTGATGTACAACAGCAGCTCCTTCGTATCCTACATCCCCTCATATGCGCTAAGCCAGCCAAGCGCAATATTTTCTGCATCGTCTTCTCCATCGCTTACCCACGCTCCTCTGCATGCTCGCGCGTTTCATGCAACTTTCGCGCAACAAGACTCCACCTCCACGCTCTTCAATAACATAACTCTACCCTTACAAGCCTCCAACAAGTCCTCCGCTAGCGCCCACATCCCTCTGTATCCGGCCGACGTACTGCCTCGAGACGGTGTTCCAGGCAGCCATGTACTTTTCCATGCAGTGGGTGTAGCAGGTCGATTCGCCGGATGAGAGAGAGGAACCGGGCTTTGGTACGCAGCGCTCGAAGCAATGCTCGTTCAATTTCTGGCAAAGGGGTTAGACTAGGCGCCCATAGATGACAGAAAATAGTGCAGATGTATGTACCTCTACTAGCTGGCGCGCATTCTGGACGGCGGCCTCTTGCCTGATCTGGTTCTTGACGGATTCGACAGGGTTGGATGGAGCTGATCCGAAGTTGGTGAGCGACATGGTTTGTTGTGGTATTGAAGAGTCGTCTGCTGTTTGTATAGAATGTTTTCTTGTGTTGTACAGATCTTTGATGGGTACTCGACAGTGCTGTGATAGTCGAGGTCACCGTGAAACTTTCCAGATCGTCATGCAGGAACAGCTTCCTTGGCCCGTGCGACAAACGGACAGCTGGAGGCACGAGACAGGAGCTCTCCGAATACTTGCACTATCTTGTATTGTTTTCCTTTCCTGAAAAGCTCCTGTTGTACTGGAGTCTTTCCAACTTCATTTCTATTCTCGCATGCTCTGATCTAGCAATCCAGTGGCTGCGATGTTCTTCTCCACAGTGCTGTGCGCTGCATTGGCGGCATGGCTTCCAGCAGCGAGCGCTCAGGATGCGGGATCGGATGTGAAGAGCATTCCAGTAAGTGACAACTTGGTGAACTTATGGAGCAATGCTAACTGAGGATATAGCTACGGACGCATTCCCTTGTATCGGTGAGTAACGCCGTACTCCAACGAACAAACAAATGCACGGCTCGAACATAACAATCAGACTAACGGGATACTATATAGCCGTACCTTGATTCCGACCTGCAGAGCAGATGGTTCGATTATGGTGGCGATGCTATCATCCGGGCGGACAAGTACATCCGTCTGGCCTCAGACCGACCTTCGCAATCGGGGTGGATCTTCTCAAGAGTACCACTCACTGCGACTAACTGGGAGGTCGAAGTTGAGTTCAACATCAACGGAAAGGGCAATCTCTTTGGAGATGGTATGGCGATGTGGATGACGAAGGAAAGGGCACAACAAGGCCCGGTTTTTGGATCTACGGACAAGTTCGAGGGGCTGGGTATCTTCGTTGATACATACAAGAACAACAGGCCGGGTACTGTGTTCCCATACGTCATGGCCATGCAGGGAGACGGACAGACTACGTACGACCAGGCGAATGATGGCAAGGCTAACGAGCTGGCCGGTTGCTCGGTAAGACGAATCATGGAAGAAATGTCTGTGAAAGCAGCTAACAGTCATACAGGCTCGCGGCCTTCGCAACGCCAACTTTCCAACCAAGGCGCGGATCACATACTTCCAGGATAAGTCGCTGACCGTCGACCTCATGTACAAGAAGGAGGATGAGTGGACCAATTGCTTCGAGGTTCCGGGCATCAAGCTTCCAGCTGTCACCTATCTCGGTTTCTCCGCCGAGACTGGTGAGCTCTCCGACAACTTCGACATCGTCAAGGTGGAGACGAGGAATCTTTATAGCCCAAGTGGCCAAACACAGGGTCAGAAGGACTTCAGTAGGAACAAGTATGGAAGTCAGCGCAGGCAGAAGAAAGGAGGCAGCTGGGGTTGGTTCTTCCTGAAGCTGGTTCTTTTCGGTCTTGTGTGCGTGGGAGGTTATGTGGGCTTCACTGTCTACCGCTCCAACAAGCGGAGAGATCGTTTCTAAAAGCATTGGTATATAAGCATCTTTGGAAGCGTTCTAGCAAGTTTGACGAATTGTATAATGTCCATCTCTATGGCATGAAATTGGGTAAGAATGAAAAGATGGGAAGGGTGGTAAGAGGGT